AAAACGAAATTTATGTAAACTTGTTATAGAAACGTTCAGTGAATTAAGATTCATATCTCTAAAATTGTATCGGTCACAACCGACACGCAAAGAGAAATAAACTTTTTTTGTGAATCAAAATCGTCTGTTATTGGACAAAAGCGGAGAATTTTAAACAGTTCCCGTGCGGTTATTAAAAACATTTCGAAAAAATTTTATTAGAAAAATCGCTTCAGAATAATGCATCCTTCAACCGTTAATGCTCTGATGCGGAAGATACGGGACACCTGTATATCTAAGAGAACGCAATTGATAATACTTGTCTGAATTCTCAAATTTTTATTTTGGCCAGCATCCCAGAAACGTCTAACGACCGGTCTTGCTAAGACATCCTGTGTACTTATCTAAAAAAAAAAAGACTAGCATAAATTAAAAAATAAATTAGGTGCAGATTTTTGGAGATGGCAAAAGATGAATTCAGAGGAATACCGAATAAAAGATATTAAATTAAATAACTTAGAGTTACTTTGTATATTTATTAATAAAAATCCTATTCTTCAATGTAATATAAAAATAATAAAATAATTTATGTTTTAAAAAAACACCTTTGATTTATTCAGACTGTTCCTTATAAAGTGAAATGTGTTGGAATTTTATAGCTTCTAATCCATAACTAGTTGTATTTGGAAGTAGGTATCTTGCAAAAATTTCTAAACACTTTGGATTTTTTTGGAGATATTTTTGTAAAACATCTAAAAAATGAAAAATAAAATAAATTCACGTAAATTATCTTGTCTATCCGTCTTATCCGTCTTGAGAGACGTGCGGCTAAATCCGAATGTTTCTAGTTTTAGTGACAGTGATAGAGTGATACAGTGGCTAAAAAGTGATCCTTTTTTAACCACTCTCATCCATACTCTCTGGTTCCTTTTTATTTTTCTAAAACCATCTTCTGACGCAACAGTAATTATTATAGCTAAACAGGCTACTTTGTACTGAAGATTGTGTATAGTGTATGGGTAACCTTGTTTGCACAATAAACCTGTTGTGCAACGTCAGTTTGCGGAATTTGTTTGCAGGTGTATGGGGGCTAAACACAATTTAATTAGACTTGTTTGCACAACCCATTCAAACCGTTTATGGTCAAATTTATGACAAAATTGAAAAGTATTATATTCTAAGAATAAGGCTGAGGTAGTTAACCAAATTGTGGTCTTCTGATAGATGAATAACAAATCTGATGAAATAAATAAAATGTCTTTATTTTCAAAATCAGTTATAAAATTATACAATCACATAAAATCTATTAAAATTAATGTGCACTATCAGGCGGAGGTGGAGCCATACAATTTCCATCTGGATACCGTTTCCTAAAATTCTCAATTAAAACCTCATCGACCAATTTAATCCCTTCAACCTGATTCCCTAATGTAATCCAATTAGGTTGGATGTTGTGTGGCCGTCCAAAAAGCTCAATCTTTCTCGTTCCCGGCGATAACCTTTCAATCATTCCATAAATCTCATCTGGTTTATGACTCGTCGCTCTTACTTCGGCCACAATAACATCTGAGTCTAAACCCCTATTCAAATTTTTCGGATTTCCTTTCATCCCGACCAAACAATGTTCTTTACCGTGATTTAACCAATGTCCGGTTCTTCCTGTTCTTATAATTCTTTGTAATTGATTTGTTTTCACCCAAATTATCTCATCGACACGTTCATAACCCCATAATTTTAAGCATTCCCTACCTAATTCCATAGCCCTTCCAGTTACCCATAAAAAAATTAGACCTTCATCTTGTAATTGAGGAATACCTAATTGTCGCATTTCATCATCTGACATGGTACCATATGGAAGCTCCATATGGATGTCCCACGGTGGATCAGCCATAATAACAGCAAATTTCCCTAAAACCGTCATATCAAGATATCTCAAATCGCATTGGACCCATTGGGGTGGATACAAAGTGGTCCCTTCCGTGCCAACTACTCTTCTGTTTTGATGTGATACTGGGACAACATCTTGGCCAGTGCGATCAACTTCATAGTGAACATATTTGCAAGTGTCCATGTGAAAGCAAGTGTTCAAAAAGGAACAATCACCCAAAGCTTCATCCGTGTGTTTTTGAATGATCTTTTTAAAGTGTAGTTTTTTACATTGAGATGTTCCAGCGTTTCTTTGGCACTCGATTCTAGTGCCATGTGGACAAAATTCCATAACTTGCGCGCCGCCTTGTGAACGAAATCGTTCAGCCAATGATCGTTCCTTTGCAGTTGGTTTACTAAGAAGGTCAAGAATTTCTTCCCCAAGCTTTTTACTTTCTTTTTCTTTTGTTGATGGCATTGATAATAATGACTAAAAAAGATTGTTTAATTTGAATACATTAAATTTAAAGTTGTCTCACCAAAATATCTTCTGCTTTAGGATCCTTTTTCTCTTTCTTTTTTCTCTCCTCTTCTTCAACAATAGGAGAGTGTTCGCGTTTTCTCTTTGTACTCTCATAATCAGCAGGCAAACTTTTAATTTCTTCAGCTAACATAGCATTTAATTTTGTATGTTCGACATTAGTAATTTCAATAATACTACCATCATCTTTAATCAATTCTTTAACAGTAATAAGTCTTTGAGTTGCAAACTTTTGTAGTAAATTAAAAACCAACTTATGCAAAGCATCTCTTTGCAACGAAGTTATTTTTAATGAATCAACCAGTTCGGTAGAAGTGGTTGGTATTTGAAGTGTTACTTCACATAAAACTTTTAAAAGTTCATATTCTATTGTTGGATCGGTTTTTACTAAATCCTCTTCGATTTCTTGTTTCGTTTTTGTATCTTCTTTGTGAAAGGTTGGAATTTGAGGGCTTCCATCGGATGTTGTGGGTGAAGATGTAGTTAAATTCGTACCTAGGATGTCTTGACGTTCTTTTTTACGCTTTTCTAAACGTTCTCTGAGACTATTTCGTTTATTTTTAATTGCTTGGATTTCTTCCCAAGCATCAGACATCGCAATATTATAAACAAGCAATATTATGTAGAGGTTATGTTTTGATTTTCAAGTTTGTTTTGGCTTAAAACTTTGTGTATAGAGCACTTATTTTAACGTGGCTTTATGTTCGAAAAAACAATGCATTTTAATCATTTAAAAAATGTGAAAATTATACGAATTTAATAATGAAACTAAATGATCATATTATATAAAAATAAGTTGGGTTATATTTTTAATTAATTTATTATTATTATTGTTTTATTTATTACTAATATTTTATTTTTAAATATCGGTTTAGTTTGGTTAAAGTATGTACTTGTTGCAGTGCTACCACATTAATTATCGCAAGGGTTATTTATTAAAAATACGTAATATCAGTGTAATTAATTAGTAAAACAAGTTATGTAAATAATTAAAGTAACACAGTACAAAGTAATTTCTGTTTCATCACGTCTTTCTTATCATAAGATTAAATTTTTTTTGTATTCGAGGTCAGGCACCGCACTCAGTGCATGCAAACAGTAAAAGATTAAAAGTAGAACAACCTTTGGAGGTTAGGTAAAATTTCTCAAAATTAGTTATAGAATCTTGAACGTTTGCAAAATGACGACATCTCGCCAAATTTTAACATTATATAAATCGTTATTACGTGAAGCGACGAGAATGCCCGCATATAATTTCAGGTAAAGTTTTCATTAAATAATTCATTTTATAAATAACCAACCCTATATTATTTTAGAACTTACGCTTTAAGGAAAATCCGGGATAGTTTTCATGGAAATAAAGGTATAAATCAACCGGAAATTGTTAATAGGTTGTTTAAGGAAGGTAAAGATAGTTTAGAAATGTTAAAAAGACAGGTGAGATTATTTTTTTTTATGTTTTGTGAGGTTATGTTGAAAGTTTTCTTTTTTAGGTTATTATAGCTAAACTATATGATGTTGAAAAATTAGTTATTGAAGAAAAACAGATTTAATTATGTATAGAATATATTTTAAAGTGTAATCAGTTAGGGCTTTATTATAATTTATTCGATTTTAAATTTTGGTGTTAATTAAAATAATAGTGATATGATTTTGAAAGTATCATTAAAGATGGTAAACATTGTTTACAAGTGTCTGAAAATACAATTTCTGTGGCGGTTTATTTCCACTTCAATAGCCAAAAGATTAATAATAATAAGCCAAGGCGCCACTAAATGATGACCAGTTTAAGGTTAATCATTGAGCCTCAGCTTCAAGCAACCAAGAAATTAGTATTTATAAAGTTACTAAATGATGGCGGAAGGCGACTTCAGCTTGATTGTTAAAAAGATGTACAACAATGTGTATCCTCAGGTATCATCCTTAGATTGTTTTCACACCTAAAATAATGTCACTTACCAGGAAGGAATTGTTTGATGTGTGAGGTAACAAAAAGATGTTTATGTAAAACTTTTATATTCTTTCAAAAATAACAAAATATGAGGTTTTAAAACTTTACAACACATTCTATAAAATTAACGCGGTGTTTTTTTAATAACAACTTAAAACTCTTAACTTGTAAATAAATATGACACAATTTTTATAAATCTTCATCTTAATAACCATCAGAGGGTTGCCTTGAATAATAACCCCATGGGGCATAATCTTGCCCACCTTCCTCTCTCATAGGTTCCCTATAAACTTTTATTTCCACTTTTTGTCGATCTAAAACATCAAGTTAAAAAAATAATCATCAAAACTTTTGTACTAACCACAACTTGATGAAGGCGAAGCGATTTGGTCATGATAACGTCTTCTTCGATAAGTTAATGAGTTTGTTACACCAAAAATGGCGAGAATACCCAAACAAATTATCATTAATCTCATCTTAATAAGAATTTAACGGTTTTTCTATTTTTTTTTTGCAATCTACACTGCGTTATAGGTGAGTTAAGAGTTAAGATTGTTTGAAATGCGGATTATTTCATTAAATGGTTTATATAGTGTATCTAACGACAAGGAAAGTAAGTAGAGTTGGGAGAAATGCGACTAAAAGCAAAAAAAGAATGAATTAAAAAGATAGGTACGAAAGTTGATCGTAGTGAAAGCAATAGACCCACTTTTGGATTATTTTAAATGATTGTTATAAGTCAAAGTTGAAATAAATCGAGATGGTCTCATCACTACGCACGATACTTTTTTTTTTAAATTCGTGCGAGATGGTTTGTTCATAAAGATTTATGAATCTAAAATAATCAATATTTCTTACGTAACTAGGTAACAAATAAACGAAAATGTGTCTTTGCCTGGGGCCTTCAGGTTCCGGGAAAACTCTTTTATTAAAAAAACTTCAAAATTGGTTATCAGTCGATGAAACAACGACGGCAGTTCCGACAGTTGGAACCAACATATTTTTAATAAAATCCGGAAGTAATCAACATTCAGTACGAGAAATTGGTGGTCAAATGGCACCGATTTGGTCGAATTATTTCACCGGAATAAAAAAATTAATCTATGTCGTCGATACATCCAATCTATGCCAAATTTCCGCCGCCGGAGTTTTACTTTATACGATCTTAGCAAATCCCCAATTGAAATTTTGCAAGGTAATTTCACAATTAAATCAAAAAAAAAAAAAATAAATCCACGGCATTATTAAAGATTAGAAATCTCGTGGTAATGAACGCGTTATTACGACAAAATTAATTCATATCGTTTAGAAATTTCTACTTGATTACAGTTTTTATTGGTTTTAACAAAGATGGATGTTAGTTATCGGCAAATGAGAAACGAAGCTCTGCTTATGCTTCAAATGAGACGATTGCAGAAAGAAATTTGTCAAGAGATTAAGATAGTTGAATCGAGTGCCATCACTGGTGAAGGAAAGGATGTTATTCTTCGTTGGTTAGATGAAGGTGAATCAAAAGTGACCAAACAAATTAATAATTGAAAGGGACATATAAAATGAAATTATGTGATAGTATTAAAGCGCTAACTCGTCTTATTATATGTGAGGTTATGTTCTATTATATTGTATATTTGAGATTGTTTATAATGCAGTAACCATAGTTACTATGCACTTGCACTGTCTCTCATAAAATGCAATATTTAATAGTACAAGCATTGGGTAGTTTTTCAAAGAAAAAGTTTTGCTTTGCGATAACTCTGAGATTCCGTCTTAAGAGACGCATGGCTAAATCCGAATGTTTCCGGTTCTAGGTCTACTATCCGTGCAAAAAGTCAAGGCCCCTCACTTTAGAGATCGATATCTTCGTAACCGCTCGATGGAAAAAATTGCTGTAAAGTTTATTGTAATCAGTGAACATTTCTGTGTATCACATGTTAATTTGGAAATTTTCGGGTCCGCGGTTTTACTTTTATCGCGAGTTAAGTGAAAAAAGTACCCGATTTTTGAGAGTGCCAGCAACTTTGTCTACTTTGCGATTTTTTCTCTCCAAAACTATTTGACGAAAAAATTTCAAATTTGAACTGGTGGTAAACCGATGTGTTCTTAATGTGGGGCATATTTTATTTTTTCGATATTCCATATAGTTTCGCGGAAAATCGCGGTTTAGTAGGATGCGGTTATTTCG